ATTCTGTTCATCTTCCTGTGGAGTTTGTATCCCATTACAGCCCTCAATTCTTTCTCCTATTCTTCCATAAGAGTTCCCAAGCTCCATCCAGTGTTTGGCTGTGTTGTCTGTATCTGTCTGAGTCAGCTGCTCAGTGGCGCTTCTCAGAGGACAACATGCTCCTGTCTGCAAGCATAACAGAGTATTATTAATAGTATTATTAATTAGTATTATTATTAGCAGTATTAATAGTATTATTAATAGTGTAAGGGACTGGTGCTTCCCTGTGGAATGGGTCTCAAGTTGAGTGAGGTAACCCAGTCCCAAAAGGACATACATGGTATGTACTCATTTATAAGTGGATATTAGTCATAAAATACAGGTACCATGTTACATTCCACAGACCCAAAGAAGCTAAAGAAGGAAAGTCCAAGCAAGGATGCTTGAATCTCACTTAGAAGGAAGAATAAAATAGTCATAAGAGGCAGATGGAGGGAGGGAACTATGAGGGAGGGGGTGTGGAGGGGAGGGGGATTCAGAATCAGATGTGGAGAAGGACAGGGGAGATGGCTAGATGGTCATGAGAATGAATAGAGAAGCCCAGGACACTTTCTCTTAAACTTTCTCTTAAATATATGAGGTCACAAGGAAGACTCAATAAATACAGGAAAACTAGATTTCTTGTATTCTATGTGACTATTGTAGATTAAAACTAGAACTCAACAGAAAGAAAAATCCACAAACTCATAAATCAAACAGCACTCTACTGAAAAAATGAATAGATTACTAAAGAAATCAAGAAGTAAAAAATGTCCTAAGTCTGAATAGAAATGAAGACACAGCATGCCAAAACCTATGAGATACAGAGAACGCAATGGTGAGGGAAGTCCTGCGTTGGCAGGTCACAGAGGTCTCAGATTAGTAAGTAAGTAACTGTACTGCAGAGCCTGGGCAAGACAAGAACAAATCTAACACAAACAAATAGCTACATCAGAGTGGAAAGTAAGGAAATAGAAATAAAACAATGTAGTCAGGGAACGGTGTGTTCTTTGAACAAGATATCTGAGAGAGAGAGAGAGAGAGAGAGAGAGAGAGAGAGAGAGAGAGAGAGAGAGAGAGAGACCCAAATTCATAACACTCGAGATGAAAAGGGAACCATTACAACAGGTACCACCTTCTGAGTCAAAACTCAGAAGGACATACCTGAAAACTTAAAAAGTCTAAAAGAAATGGATTGATTTCTAGATGCATATGACCTAACAAAATTACATCAAAATGAGACAAGTAGTTTAAACATATCAATAACAAGCAATGGAGTTTAAACTATTGTTTAAAAGCTCACGAGTAAAAAACCTCAGATGACATAATAAGTGGATTTCTCCAGACCTTTCTTTGTTTCCTTCCTTCTGCTCTCTCCCTCCCTCCCTCCGTCCTTCCTTCCTTCCTTCCTTCCTTCCTTCCTTCCTTCTTCCTTCTCTCTGTTTTTTCTCTCTGCCTCCTGAGTGCTGGGATTAAAGACTTGCACCACACATATGGCTCTCCTGATCTTTAAAGAAGAACCACAATAATTAAATGCTTCTTAGATTATTCCTTCAAATACAAAAAATAAGAGACCATTTTCAAACTCATTTTATGAAGCCAACACTACCCTGCTATCAAAAACCAGATAAAGACACAGCAAAAAAGAACATCACAGCGTGCCCCTTTCTGGCAGCTGAAGAGGCCCTGCATAGTGCTGCACACACCTCTTGGAGAAGCTGAGGTCAACATCTAATTTGAAATATTAAAAGTAGATACAAAACTATTTTACAATGCAGACAATTACATGTGTCAGTCGCGATGATGCTGTTGGTAAAACATATCTCCTGATATCCTACACAACAAACAAATTTCCATCAGAATTGTACCAACTGTTTTTGACAACTATGTAGTCACAGTTATGATTGGTGGAGAGCTACACACTCTTGGACTTTTTGATACTGCAGGCCAAGAGGATTATGTCAGACTACAACCGCTAAGTTATCCGCAGACAGATGTTTTTCTAGTATGTCTCTCAATGGTCTCTCCATCCTCAGTTGGAAATGTGAAAGAAAAGTGGGTGCCTGAGATAACTCATCACTGGGTTATCTCAAGCAAAGACTCCTTTCGTGCTTTTTGGGACCCAAATGGATCTCAGATATGACCCCTCTACTATTGAGAAACTTGCCAAGAACAAACAGAAGCCTATTATTCCAGAGACTGCTGAAAACTGGCACGGGATCTGAAGGCTGTCAAGTATGTGACATTCTCCATCCTCACACAGAAAGACGGAAAGAATGTGTTTGATGAGACAATTTTGGCTGTCCTGGAGCCTCCAGAACCGAAGAAGAGCCGCAGGTGTGTGCTGCTCTGAACGCATCTCCAGAGCCCTTTCTGCACAGCTGGTACTGTCATCATACTAAAACAATGTTTAAATCAAACTAAAGATTAAAAGTTCAAATTCATTTCTGCAATAATGACAACGCCCTGCACCTACCCACATGCACTCATGTGAGACAATACCCATTAGTATGACCCCCTGCCCTTCCAGTCACAGTTAATTTTGAATAATTATGTATTCTCTGAAAAGCTATGAGCTTTTTTGTTTCCTTGTTTAAAAACAACAACAACAACAAAAACCCCCACATTCTGTTTTGTTTAAAAGCGAGGCATGCTTGTCGTGACTGTACCAGACTAACTCAAATTGTCAGGCTGCTCTCTGGTTCCATGTTGGAGTATAATCTGGGGCATCTTGGTATCTTTTGTTTTAGTTTAGTTTAGTTTTGTATTTCCCCAACCTTCTCTCCTTTTGGGGTGTATATATGGTTGTTTTTTTAGACTTGTATTTTAAAATTTGTTAACCAGAGGACAGCCTGTAGGGGAGGCAGACAGATTATCTCCGCATTCTACTCTTTAGGTCTAGTTTAGCAAATATGTCCCCACCTGGTGCTCTTAGGAAGGAGTATAGAAATGCCTCGTTTAATAACATACTCCTTCTTGAAAGTTGTCTTTTCTCTCTACACTCAAGTGGATCCAGTCTTTGATGAAATTCATGAAGGTGGGTGGAAGCTGTCTTGCCCCTCTTTCTAGGATGCACTCTACGTGTGACTGTGACTTCCAAGGGTATTTGTTCGCCATTTGCTGATTTGGGGGGGGGATAATTTCTAACTTCTTTCATTGATAAATGAAAAAAAGTATTGTGCCTTTTGAAATACACCAAATGGATTGAGTTCCTAATTTTTTAAAAAAAGACATTTTTTGTCCCTGTCCGTCCTTTTCTTATCTGCTCGGCATAGACTCACAACTCACTGTAGTGTTCCTAGATTCAGCTGAAGACCTGGTACCGAGGGCTCCTCACGGGATGGTCTTAGGAAGCACATCAGTACTGATGATTGCCACCTCCTTTCAGGTGATGAGCTTACAGGCCTGCTTCATTAAGAAGCTATGAGCGTGTGGGGTGGGGAGCATATGTTTAACCAACATAGGAACCAGTCAGGCTATCCACTTTTTTCCCCATGCCTATGAGGAACCCTTGAACAACTGGCTGAAAATACTCAAGAAAATTGGCGAGAGCCTCATCATTCTTTATAAGTGTCACTAGAGACTTTATCAGATGATTTTGTTTGCGGGTTCCAGTGTTTTAAAATGTTGGGCTATCTCCCTGCCCAGTCCTGATCTTGTGGATTCGTTAATGCTTTCTTGTGTCTCAATTCTTTGTATATGAATTCTTTTCAGATGCATTAAATGAACAAAACCCTTCACAAAAAAAGAGAATACATCACCTATCAATCTCCCTGATGAACATAGATACAGAAAGTCTGAATAAAATGCTTGCAAACTGAAATAGGGACACATCAAAAATATCATTCAACACAATCAAGCTGACTTCACCCCGAGAGTGCAAAGATAATTCAACACGCACAAAGAAATGAGTGTCATACGCCACATAAATGGACTCGGGAAAAATGACATAGTCATTTCAATAGATGCAAGAGGGGCTTTTAACAAAACCCAACGTCCATTCATGAGGAAAGCCTTGAAGAGACTAGGAAAGGAGGGAGCATAATGAAAGGCATGTGTGACAAACCTAAAATCAGCACATGTTAAGCGGAAAAAAAAAACAGCTCAAGCATTTCCACTAAGATCAGAAACAATGTAAGTACGTCCACTCTGTCCACTACTGCTCAGTGTAGTGGCTGAGTCTCCATTCCAGCGACAAAGAGGAAGTAACCTAACGTGATACGAATAGGAAAGGCAGGATCAAAACATCTTTATTTGCAGATGATATATTATACACATAAGAGATCCTATTGTGTGGTCCATCGAGAGTGATCAGTGACCAAAGCCACCTGTTACTAAGCTCGATGGCCTGAGTTCAATACCTGGGGGCGGGGGGCGGGGTGTTCAATACATGGTGGAACTAGATCTTGTAAGTTAACCTCTGACCTCCCATGCCTATGGTAACACACAGTGCCCATACACGCACAGCCAAAAGAAATAAATGCAATTTAAAAATAACGAAAAACAAAACCCTTAGCGTTCATAAACACACTCAGCAGAGTGATAGGATACAAACTTAACCCACACGCCAATGTAAAACAGACTGAGAAAGAGACCAGGGAAATAAGTCCATTTCCAATGACAACAAAACAAAACACACACATAGAAGAAACATAACCAAGGAAGCAAAAGGCCTTAACAATGAGAACTGTAAAACACTGGAAGAAGGGAACACTTAGAGAGAAGACATTAAACAATCAAAGGCCACCCATGCTTGCTCATGGATTGGAAGGATCAATGCTGCTAAGATACCTATGTTAACAAAAGCAGTTTACAGAGACAGTGCAATTTCCATGAAACTTCCAAACAAAAGTGTAAAATCTACTCTCAATCTCTTCAGAATGGTGATTGTGATGCATATTGAGTCTGATGAATTTGGTGTGTGATGTTTCATTTGTAAATTTTTAAGTAATACATCATAAAAAGATTAAAAAGTCTAACATATTAGAAATAGAAAAGTCTTTCTTTAAACTTAGTGAGGTTTGCTATTATTCCAATGAAACAATGTGATCAAAGCACCTTGGGGAGAAGATGGTTTGTTTGTTTGGTTGGTTGGTTGTTTGGGTGTCTGGTTTGGTTGGTTGTTTTTTTACTCAGAGTTAACAGTTTGGTATCAAAAGCAATGAGGGCAGAAACTCAAACAGGGCAGGAACCTGGAGGTGTAGCTGATGTAGAGGCCATGGAGGGATGATGCTGGCTGTCATGCTCCTCATGGCTTGTTCAGCCCACTTTCTTATAGAACCCAGGACCACTAGCCTGCCATTGGACCCCCCTTCCCCTACCTGGATTGCCTGGTTGGTCCTCAGCAGAGAGGACATGCCTAGTCCTGCTAGGATCAGATGTCCCAGGATAGAGTGGTACCCAAGGGGGACTTCCTTTTGTAAGGGCGGGACTGGGAAGAGAGAAGGGAGGGGGGATGTAAAGTGAATAAAAAAAAAAAACTATTGGGAAAAAAATCAACTCCAGACAGAGCAAAGACTGTAACAAAGACATAAAACTCTGAAACTGCTAGAGGAAAGAGCAGGTTAAAATAGACAGTGAGGGAGAGTAAAGGCTGAGCAAAAGCACTCACAGGACATGGAAGAGGAATAGAGTCCAAGGAGGGCAGTTAAAAGGTTTGGGTGGGATACAGAGAGGGAAATGGGGTGAGAAGCAAGTGTGGAGCAGCAGGAGAGGGTGGGGAGAGAGAATAGAAATCAGTGGGGAGGGGCGCATCTCTGGGATGAGCTGGAGACTAAGACCAATGTGTGTGTGGTAGGGAGGGGAAGATCCCAGGAGTCTATGGGGATGACCCCAGCTGAGACTCTAAGCAGGTGAGTATATGGAGCCTGAAGTGGCCACCTCCTGTAGCCAGGCAGGACTTCCAATGGAGGGAGGGGAACATCAACCCATCCACAAAAGCTTTGACCCAAAATTTGTCCTTCCTACAAGATGTGCAGGAATAAAGATAAAACAGAGACTGAGGGAATGGCTAACCAACAACTGGTTCAACTTGAGACCCATCCCATGAGAGAGAGCCAATCCCTGACACTATTAATGATGTTCTGTTATGCTTGCAGACAGGAGCCTAGCATAACTGTCTTCTGAGAGGCATCATCCAGCAGTGGATGGAAACAGATGAAAAATTCACAGCCAAACATCAGGCAGAGCTCAGGGAGTCTTATGGAAAGAGTTGGGCAAAGGATTGAGGGAGCCAGAGGGGTCAAGAGCACTACAAGAAGACCTACAGAGTCAACTAACCTGGGCCATGGAGGCTTGCAGAGGCTTCCAAAGAGCATGCCCGGGCTGGACCTTGGCCCCTTACACTTTTGTAGCAGATGCACAAGTTGGTCTTCATGTGGGTCTCCTAAGAGATGAAGCTTGGGCTCTCTCTGACTTGTTGTCTGACATTAGGTTCCCTTCTCCTAACTGAGCTGCCTGTCTGGCCTCAGTGGGAGAGGATGAGCTTAGTCCTAATGAGATGTGATGTACCAGGGTGGGTTGGTACCCATGGGGGTCTTCCCCTTCTCTGAGGAAAAGGGGAGGGGGTAATGGGGAGAGAGGGGTTATGAGGGTGGGACTAGGAACAGAGGAGGAAGGGGGCTGTGATCAGAGTGTGAAGTAAATTAATTAATTAATTAATTAATTAATTAATACAAAAGGTTAAAAGGGATAGAGGTAGCAGAAGCGTGAAGAAGATAAAAGAGGAGGAGAATCCACTATAGTATATTTTGTTTGGAAATACCATAATATCTAATACTTGGTATGTTGATTTTTTTTTAAATTGTAGCCTTAGCTGGTGAAACTCACTGGTCTAACTCATTTAGACCAAGCTGGCTTTGAACTCGCAAAACTCCTTCTGCATCTGCCTCCTGAGTGCTGGAATTAAGGATGTGAGCTACTATACCTAGCTTGTACACTAATTTTAAACCATTTTAAATGCTAAGTAAAAATAATAAATAAATATTACTTAGATTCTCTATAGCATATGGAGAAATGATCTTCATTTCCTAACTCACACCATATAGAAAAGTGAATTCACTGTGGATCACAGATCTAAACCAGAGCTAAAACTATAAAGTTCTTTTAAAACAGAAAAAAAGTCTTCATATTAAGGGTAGGCAATATTTTATTGGAGTAGATATGAAAAGTAATAACTAGAAAATATCAATACAGTTGATCAAAATACAAGATAGTTCAGCAGAAGACACAATTAAGAAAACGGTTGCACACATAAGACACAGTGAGATGCTGAGGCAGGAGGATCAAGGGCTCCAGACCAGCCTAGACACAGGAAGACCTCAACTCAAAAGAAACGTGTGACCCACAAACCAGGAGGCTGTGTACAGTTCACATATCTGAAGAAAGTCAGATAGCTAAACAAATAAGGAACTCCACATAGGTTTTCTTAAAGCAATGGAAATGAGACTAACGGACATAAAATGCCTGAGTGGACAATCTCCAAAGGAAGACATACGAGTGACCAGTCACCAAGTTAAAAAAGTGCTCAGCATCCCATAGTCCAAAATGCAAATTAAAGTGAGTTACCACACCTGCCAGTAGCTAAAACTGACCACCCTAAATGTTGGCCAGTCTGTGGCATGGTGAACACCTTTGTAAAGGATCTTCCATCTTCTCATAAAAAAACTAAGCTCAGGCTGGAGAGATGGTTCAGAGATTAAGAGCACTGTCTGCTCTTCCAGAGGTCCTGAGTTCAATTCCCAGCAACCACATGGTGGCTCGCAACCATCTATAATGAGATCTGGCTTCCTCTTCTGGCCTGTAAGCATATATGCATGCAGAATGCTATATACACAATAAATAAATCTTAGAGAAACAAAACAAACAAATAAACCTAAGCTCATCTCCATGATGTGATCCAGCAGCCCCAGCCTCGGGTGTTTAGCCAAGAGAAAAAGAAATGAATACAAAACTCTTGTCTCTGACAGTAACAATTGTATTCATAATAGCTCAAAATGGAAACAGCCTTGCTGACTGTCAGCAAGAAGGATGGGCAAATGAACCTGGAATCTCTTTCAGTGGAATACTCCACAGGAATAACAAAGAATCTAGTAAATACACCTCATTTTGTGCTTCCTCTGTGTCTCTTCTCAACATAAGTCTGACTTTCTTATACCAGAAGCACAGCTCAATCCATTTTCACATAATTTCTACTCCTCTGTCTCCTTCCTGATAGCTTCCTTACACAACTGCCTTCCAGTGATGGCCTCCCTACAGACCACACACAGACAATCTGCTTGATTCACCTCCTGATCCACACATCTTGCCCAGAATGTGAAGACTTGGTGTAGGGACCACTTTTGGTGTCCTGTGTGACTCCATAGAACATGTTCCCTGCCAGGTCTCAGGACACTTGCTTGGAAATGATCTAGACTCCAATGAAGTCTTTGGCCCTGGGGCCCCTTACTCTCTATTTCTTGCTCTCTGTCCATTATGGAGCACACAGGTCCCCAAGTGGCTCCTCTTTTCCTGTTGGCCCTGTGAGGTCCAGTTCACTTTCCTTAGGTTCTGAGGATGGCACTGCTTATGCTATGCTGCCTCTCCAAGGCCATACCAAACTAAGACAATGAAACCTAACTCCTTTCCAGACCAGTGTTGTCCTGGAGACTGGCTCTAAGCTTCTTCTCAAAGACATCGGCTATACTGACATTTGCAGGAAGTCCAGCAAGGAACAGTCATGTCTACTGTGAAGTCCCTCAGCAAGAGTGGAAGGAGGAGAAGGCTCCCGGAGTGCTTTCGTGTAATTGGATGTTAGGGACATTGTCCCAAAGGGATTAAAAGTTTCCATTTGTAAACTTTTAATCACTCAAGGGAGTGCAGGACTCCCATGTATAGCACTGGTTTCAAATCAACATCCCTGTGTGTTGGTGCTCATTAAGAAATTCTGCCTGAAATAGAACAGAGACCAAATGTGGAAGACAAACTTTGAGTCTTTTCCTCAAATCAGAGGTGGCATCTCTGCCTGGGTCCCTTAAACCACTGCTTTTGGCCTGGAATTTCCTTAGCTTCAGGTAGCTGTTCTCGATAGGTTTCTGATTACGGTAAGAAAGGAATCGAGTAAAAGCCAATCTCAACCTTTTGTTAGCATATCAGTATTCCTAGTGTCTGACTTGACTTTCTACACAGACTGTCCTTGAGAAGAGAATAAAGAACCGGTCTCAAGAGTATGACCACGGCTAAGGGCCAGACAGGAACTGTCAGGGGTGTGACCAAGACTAAGGGCCAGACTGGATCCCTCTCTGGTCTGAGAAATCTGAACATCGAGAGACTGTCAAAGTCTGTCAGTCTGAGTTCCTAGGCTCACCCCATTTGGGAGACTATTCTGTAACTGAGACGGTCCCATCTCACAGTGACCTATCAGAGGCTCAGGCAGTGTGAGGAGAAGGACACTATCATATGCACGAGAGAATGCTGCCTCCTTCCATGTGGAGAATCTTCCAAGGTTCCAGGGTTCTGCAAACATACAGCAGGCTGTTTGGGAATATAGTGAGCTCTTCCACAACCAGGAACTGAGAGGCAGTGTGCTGGTGTTGTCCAGGGAAGGATCCAGAATGGGAGAGAAGGTTGAACAATATTATTGAGGGGCATACTTAGTGTTGCAGTAGAAGTCTGGGTGACAGGCTGAGTCAAGTCTCAAGGACTCTTATGTCCACTGAGGCCTGTGGATGCCCACCCAGAAGGAAAGAAACCTAGCAGAATGATATCATGCGCGAGTGCACACACACACACACACACACACACATACACACATACACACACACACACACACCTGTCTAAAAGAACTAGGTTTCCAAGAATTGTGAGCCACTATGGATTTCTGGGGCCTCCCCTAAATTTATCTTCAAGAAATACAAGATTCAAACTCTTTGGGACATATCAGAATTTTTAGAGTATAAAGTCGCCTAGGAAAACACTCCTCCCAGCCCTGCCTTTGTTACAGCTCTCTAAATACAACCTTACTGTTCCCTTAAAGACACAAGAGAATACTATATCTCTGAGAGCATCTATGAGCTCTGTTCCCATCAGTGCCCTCTGATGAGTCCCTAAGCTTTCATTCCTACTAAGGCAGTAAGCTCACTAAACTCAGGCTATGAGTCCTTGGGATTCTTTTACCAAGTATTACACCCACATACTGGCTGATCAACAAGCATTTTTATGTTTAGATATTCAGACATAGTGGGTAAGTTAATGGAGGATGGATGGATGAATGGGTGAAGGAATGGATGGATGGACTGGTGGATGGATGGACTGGTGGATGGATGGACTGGTGGATGGACTGGTGGATGGATGGATGGATGGATGATAAGTAAAGTCAGTGGGTGGAAACCTGGGGGCTGTTAGTTACTAGAACCATGTGAATAGTGTCAGAGTGTGTTTTCTCTGAGAAGAATCTAGACCAAAGCAATTGTCTTGGCAGGTGTGGGGGCTCACACCTGTAATCCCAGCACTCAGGAGGCTGAGGTAGGAGGATTGTCATGAGTTTGAGGGCAGCCCAGGTTAGCCAAAACAGACAAAAAACAACATGAAGACAGACAGGAAAGAAAAAGGAAAGGGAAGGAGGGAAAGGGAGAGAAAGGGAGGGAGGGAAAGAGAGAGAAAAGGAGAAAGGGAATGAGAGAGAGAGGGGAGAGAGAG